TACGATCTAATATCTTAATTGTTGCTTTCCAACCTATCTCATAAACCCACAGATGTGTTCAGATAATATTTAAATTTATTTATTTCTGGGTAGATATGAAGCTGCGAGTGATTGGAAAGCTTTCAATGCTTTCGATAAAAAAATTAGATGTGTGGGACCAAGTTTTTTGTGCTAGTTATGAATGCGGCTATTGAATTACACACTGCGAAATGGTACGAATTTGCCTTTGACAGACGCAACAAACCAGGCACCGTCGACGAAAAGGAATGAGAAAGAAAACGCGTTGGTATACACTCATCATGACACTGTAGACTAATGATAAAAATTAGTAAAGCAACTTATTGTAATAAGAAAAACATATCTGTAATAAATTCTAAAACTTAAAACGCGTTTATCTTGAAACACAGTTTTCTAAGACGGCAAAGGCAAGCAGCCTATCTCCAATAATTTTTATTTTTTTGTTTTAATTTTTTGCAGTTTTTTAAAATTCTCTATTGAAATATTTATTATTTTCGAAAAGTTTATTTTAATACCTTTTACTAATAAACGCCCACCGCTGAATATTGAAAGAGGTCGAAAAAGTGGTCCGACGCGAAACATTTTTAAAAGCGTTTGGCCAAGCGTTTGTATCAAAACAAACAAGACGAACACACGTCACACAAGTTTAGTTCGATTGACAAAATGATTCTGAATCGATCGTTGTAATAAAAGGCGAGTCTATCTAATGTCCTTCTGGGTGTGGCAAATGTCTGCACGAACTTATTGTAGCCGTGCAGCGTAAGAGACGTAGGGTGTAAAGAGTGCAGTTTTTCTGCTCGGAAGTTGAACTTCATATGGTAATGTAAATTATTTGTAGATTGTTAGCGGTGCAAGGCCTTAAACACCAAGAATTAGAATTTATTGCTATATTAAGACTCGCCTTTTATGAAAACCCTTATAAGAAAAGGACTCTGAAAAAAGATCTCTATGATCTGAACTTGGCGTAATCGCTATTCTGAATAGATTTTTAATAGAAGCAATTAAAAATTGGATTTTGTTGCCGTATAAAGGCTCAACGTTGTAAGAAATGGGAGATGGGGGGTATCCCAAAATTAGTCCCGTTGAAGCAAATTTTTCGCGTTCATTTAGTATAGAAACATTGAAATGTTAACATTTTTTTCACTTAATCACTTTTTTAGAATAAGTTTTCAGTCTTTAAATGGAGAGAACTTGTAAAAATTTTTCTAGCCGATTCAATCCTCTTTCAATAATGTTCATTCTTGCACCTAAATATGTTAACAAATAAAATTTTACTAAAGTATTTGGACATACAGATTGAATAGCAAAATACATGAGTTGGACGGACGGAGAAACTCAGAATATGATAATTATTATATCTCAAATTCTGTTGGATTGTGTGCACATTGCCGCAGATTTAATAAGACGTTATCAAGACAGTTATATAGAAAATTTCAGGCATTAAGGAAATATTTATTTTGAGTAAATCTTTAAATCAATAATAAATTTCATATATATAGTGTTAAATGTAAACGATTTTCTTAAAAATAAACTTGAAATTATTATAAATTAGTTTATTTATTATATATTTTGCTTTTTATACATATATATTTAAGGCGCATAAAAAACTTTCAATGCGAACCAAACGAAATTTATTACAACAGACACATATACATATGCGCAGTCATATATTTAAGCTTCTGCTGCTAGTTTTTGTTAATTAAAGGAAATAATACTTCTTTGAGTGTTGAGGTTTTTTTTTTTTTAAATATTATTGTTTTTATCGCTATTATTGTGGGTGAAATATTGTTTTTATTTTATTTATAAAGAGTGATAAGTGATTGTTAAGGATAAAGATAAAAAATAAATCGTGTTTTCGACTTTTTATAATACATGTTTTTAGTGATGTTTTTTTTTTTTTTTTTGTTTTTTTTTCTCTTCAAGTGTTCTTATGTAAATAAATATTTATGTCTTTTACTTTTTGTATTTATTTATTTTTTGCAAACTTACAGTATTTCATTTTATTTAACTTATAAGATATATTTTAGAAAAAAATTATTGCTTTAGTTATTTAATGCTTTCAACCTGTCTGTAGAAAAGTAATTTGATTGACATTTTGTTGTTGCAGTTATTGTTTTTTTTTTTGGCTTACAGACTATAAATTTCAAAAAAAAAATGTTATCACAAAACTAAATATTATGGAAAAAGTGCCCTTAAGGAGTAGCTCGTTTGAATAAACCAATAGCTTTGAGATGGTAGATAATAAAAAATAGATAACGTTTTCATATCTTCAATTAATCACTCAAAATATTTGTTCAAATATATCCAACCTTTGCTTTTTACGATTATTTAGATCGTTTTCCTTTGAACACGATTTTTGTGTAAAAAGTGGAAGAAATTTTCTAATTAAGATTTTCTATTGATTTGTTTTAAAAGAAACCTGATATTTATATTTCAAGATGAATTGAAATGAATTATTTATTTTCAATTCGCTTTTCCCCTAAAAATCGTACCTTATTCTATACCACTGCCGAAACTTCTTTTCTTCTGTCAGGTTCATATTGGAAGTCTACATTAAGTATCAGTCGTCGGGAATGAGTTCTGTAAAAAAATTATGACGAGAGTAGGGTCGTATTAATATACTCGTATTTATATTATGAAAGGATCCATATCAATTCCATGCACTAATTTGCATCATTTTTCATACTTTTATTCCTTTTCTGCATTTTCGATTTTTTCAAAACAATTCTCTCGAAGAAGTTATTTGTCATGTAATATCAGAATATGTAGCAATTTTATTAATTTAAAAAAGTAAACAAAAAAAATTTTCAGTTTTGAAATTAAATTTTCAATAAAGTTTTTCTTTCACATACACTTAATTCTCTTTTTACACGATAGATACGTTCACAAAAAAAATATATTGGCTAAATGAAGCAATAGTGGATTGGTTCCAGATCTCAAAAATCAGCTGAAAAGTGCATTAACCGAGATTAAAAAATTCATGTCAGATTTCAGTTAGGAATTTATTTTGTTTTTACGCATTCACGCTTAATTCATGAAATATATTGCAAAGAAAAAATTTTACTATAGAAAATCAATGCACGGAATATTAAAAATCGGGTTAAATCAAAATAATTCGTGTATATATGCGAATGTTTGGAAGTTCGTTGTTAACTGCATTTTTTTCGCAGTCCAGTTGATACTTGAGCCGCATTTTCATTATATATTTGGAACAGTTTTCTTCGATGCTGCGGAATAGCTTTTGTTTAGTGCCTTATCAACTATTGAAAGTCGAAAGCAGCAAAATCTGGCACATTTTAATTTTTTGCTATCGGTAAAGTAAAAATGGTATTCAATTGAAAAAAAAATTGTTCAGTGTGTATGAATAAAGGAGGTATATTGATAGAAGACGAGTGCCACAACTGGTTTACAAAATTTCAAAATGTATCACGTTCTAGAGAACTGGTTGAAACTTATGAGGACAAAATAAAAGGAATTAACTGACGCAAATCGATGAATAACAGCTCTTAAGATGGCTGAGAGATTACTTTTATCGTATTTGACCTTCCGTAATAACAATATAAAATCGTCTTTTATTTTTGTATATAAAGAGAGTTGCATTCCAATGGAAGATTTTTTTTCAAAAGGAATAAAATTTCTTAGAATTGGCTTAGTTTGGTAATCTTAATTCATATGATATGGGAAATCATTTATCCTGCAAGTATCTTTCAAGTCCCTCAAATAAAATAAATCAGTAGAAACGAAGAAATACCGGACTAACTCTAACCAAAGTTTCGAAGTTCCTAAAGGAAACAACATCGACTAACGGATCGTATAACGGATATATTTTAATGTCATTCAAGTCTATGCTTACGATGACAGAGTAATGTAAAATATGCGACAGCGTAGCCAAACCAAGTTGCTCTCGATCTTCTGCTTTATAGCGCTTTTCATTTTTAAATTTCTCTATTATTTCAATAAAATATTTCTTTGAAAGAATAATAGAATCCGTTTTCAAATCTCCAAGCTGTCAACAAGTTCTTTCTCGCAAAACGAAGGGATGGATATACGAGTTAAGCTTACATAAATCTATGTAAAAATGCTTATAAGCTTTCTATGCTTTACAAATATTTCTTATCGGGTTTGGCCGAGCCGCCTTTACTAGATTATATTCACAATATTTGTGTAATCGAAAGTACAAAAGTGAAACAAGGAAATTTATATTTAACTGAAACATAAACGTAAAGTATTTGAAGAAATTATTTTACTTTCCACAGCCTTTAAAACAATTTTTTTACGTTTCGATTAACTTTTCATAGGGAATAAATGCTTTTTATTTTTAAAAAATGAATTTTCATTTAATATATTTTTGGTGATACTTTTGGGAAGTATTATAGTAAGAAAAAGATTCCATTCTTTCGCCAAATATTACGTGAAAAGGATTTATAAGGGAAGCTAATGGATGGAAACAATTTTTATTTTAAAAGTACTTTTCACTTAAAATACATCAAAGTTTTGAAAAGTAACTTTATATTTATATGAAAGTTTTTTGTTGCAAGTCGTTTATCAAAGCGTTCTAATCCAAACCCCCAGTTCGCCATTTACTCTTTCACTGGTACCAACAAAGAAATTCAAAACATTTTTACATACCAAATGATCTGAACTAAGAAAAAAATAGTTATGCATGCGAATACGATAAATATATTTTCAATATATTCCGGTTTTCAGTTTTTTTTTTTTTTTTTAATAATTTTTTAATTTTTAAAGAATTTTCATGAAAACATTTTGATAAAAGAAAACTATTTTAGAAAAGTAGAAAATTCTTTCTTATTTTACACGTGACAAAGTATAAAATAATGTTTAGGTTAAGTACGTATATCGAAATGATTTTTTTTTTTTTAATTGTATAAAAGTAAATGTGCTTTTATGGTACATTATAAAGCTATTGTAAGCTTAGTAATCACTTAGAGCGATCCTTGCTGAAAAAGTGCTTATGATTTTAGTTTTTTTTTAATATAAACTTTTATTATTTTTAGCGTTAAGTGCAATATTTATATAAGTTTTATCAACAAAAGCACCGAATTTAATATAACGTTTTTAGTAAACCTTAGCGAAAACGAAAGTAATTCTATCTACTTACAAGAGTTACCTGATTTTGCCTACCTAAGCAGACACGTCTTCTTTACAAGGGTGATAGTGAGCTAGAAAAATGCTCACTGATTTAGAATGAAGCCAAAAGAAAAATGTGTACAAATATCTTTATGTCCTCAAAATAAATATACCACGCCACGATCGTACGGTTCCCTATGGCTTTATTTAGCGGTAAGAATTGATTTACTGAAGAAGCCGAGAAGACAGTTTATGCATGCCTGTAGAGATCTTGCAGGGAAATTGGGAACAGAGAACTTTATTCATTGCGAACGATTTTCCGGCAAACGCTATCACGACAGATTAATAATATATAAAGTAGTCTTCAAAGCAAATGATTGATATATTTATTATACTCCATAGACAGTTTGGCGCTGCTACACTACTAAGTTTGTTTATGTAAACCGTTTTCGGGAAACGCTGAAAAAATGCAAACGAACAACAATTCTTCAAAGCGTCGGGGCAACAAATAAAAAATCTGCAGCTATCGCGAAGACAAACCGTAGCATCGCTATTATTTGGCTACTTAATGCTTTAACTGCAAATAAATATTATGAACCTTTTTGCAAAGAAATTTTTTTTTCCTTTTAAACTTACTTTGATTGGGGAGGATTTTTCGCAAATTTTTTTAATCAGTTAGTTGATGTTCTGCCCGTCCGTCCATATCGTCTTCGTTCACACAACAAAAACTGGTACCTGGCCCTTTTCATGGATTAGGTCGCGAAACAAACTGATTGAGAATCAAATTCTAGTGTTGTCAAGTTAAACTCCAACTCGCGATTAGAACAAGGACAAGAACGTTTTGCGGGAATTCACGAACACTCTTTTTTACTGGAGAAAACGATTTTACTAATTATATTAAATTTGATGCTTTGGTTTATACTCCCTCATCTTGTTTAGATACATGCACGACTATTAATTTTCTTAATAAATTAACTAATTTCACGATTTAAATTACTATTATTATAATCATGTGTTTTTTGGCAGTGATGCACTGCGTTCCTTCCCGCCACAAATTCCGTTATTCATTTTTAATTTTGATCGATAAGGATTCGCTCTAAATACAATTCTCGTATATTCGTAATGTGAGATAAATGGGTATAATCAAGAGTTTTCTGTATTAGAAGAAAAAGATAATTTTTTTCCTTGCAATTTCCAAAATGAATCTTCTTAAGCCGCTTAAGACTTTTATTTGACAGAAATGTTCACGTTTTACTTGATTATATAGAGTAGATGTTAATATTATATTCACCAAAAAGATGCCTACGCTTCGAAAATAATAACTTGATCGGGTTAAAGTAGAAATTACCGAAAGATATTTAGAACAAAGTAATACAGGTCTTACGTACGTACCATTGTAGAAAAATAAAGAAAAAGAAATATTTATACGGAAAACTTATAGATGTGATATTAGCTTTGACTACAGCTGTGATGTGATAATATCTTAACCTTACAGCTGACATTTAAAGTAAAGGATTGATTTTAGAGAAATTTTGTTACCTGAACGATTTCCTTCGCCGGCTAATCAGGAAAACGAAAATTGGGAGAATATTATCTAGTGATTAATGAGAGTGATTATAAAATTCAACTTCTAGTGTATAAGGACATCGGTGTCCATCCTTTCATATGCAATTGTAAGCTTATTTTCGCTTCTTTCATTGTTCATATCAATTTTAGTAAAATATTTTTTAAATTTAAATAAATAATGAATTCTTTGGTTTGTTAACTACTGGGTACCTGGGTATCTCTCAGTTCGTTTCTTCTTTACTTAAATTTTCATAAGCAACATACAATAATAATATCTATTAATTTCTTTTTGCTTTGCATTATTGTTTAATGTAAAAGATGCGCTTTTTTCAAGTCAGACACGTCACTGTCATTTTCTTTACGTTTTTCACAGAACTCAATCAGATATGAGAATACGCCTGAGAGAGCAATAAAAATGCCAGCAAAGTAGAAAGCATTATCCCACCTGTAAACGAATGAAATGAAAAAATTGATTGCACGTTAATCACGGATGAGTTGAAGCAAATTTACCTTAAAGTGTACTCGTATATAGCACCGGCTATAGGTGGTCCAGCAATCATTCCGATACCCTGCACTAATAACACTAAACCATAAGCGCATGTAAAATCATCCAAATCCACAATACTAACTAATATACTGGGTGTAAATGAAAATGAACTGGCAAATGTGAAACCGAATAATATGCATAACGCAAGCAAACCGCTGTAATGGTTAACCAAAATTGGCATTAGCAGTACAGAAAGTCCGCATACTACATAAGTAAATGTAAGCCAAAGTAAAATTTATTATTAATAGTAATTAATTGTTACATCAAATCTTTTAAAACATACTTACATAACATACAGCCCGAATAGCAAATATTGACATTCATCCATGGACGATCTCCAACATAACCCAAACCGATCATACCAATAGTTTGTGCGACTCCAACAGCAGAAAGCATTTGAGCGCTATCAGCTGTCTCGTAGCCATACTTTTTCATGTATTCCGGTAGATATAGATAAGGTATAATGAACCTGAAATTTAATATGTAAACGAAATTTAGAAATTCGAATATTGGATACTGAGAACATCAACTATCAACGGTGCAGTTTAATCTTCTTTCTCTTCATAGAGTGCATATGTTTTATGAACGGCGAAGGTTTATTTATAACTTGAAGTGAGACAATTCAGGTATTAATCTTGGGTTTTGAAAAAGACAAATTTAGAAAAAAAAGCTAAGGTAAGTGGCTGCCTCCGCTTCTTTGATGATGATCTTAATTAGCGTAAATGATGGAATCAAATAATCCATATCTGTATAATTTGTGAAAGCATGATTGCGACGGCAATGGGGCGAGCTTAACACTTATTTACTTATTGTTATGCCCTGAAGGCTTTGACATAGACCCACCCATTCAAAATCGATTTTAGTTTGTCTACCAGCCTGTCTGCCTCGTATACTTGTTTTGTTTACATTTGGCACGTCCACATGTTTCGACCTAACGACGAACAAAAATGGCTCGTAGGGCCATCTTTTCGATCACTTCGCGTACAACGCTTTATTTTGAAAAGCCGTTATATGAGCAACTTTAAGGTGATATAGGGTATTTAATTGCGAGACGTGGTCCACTACAGAGGTTTTACTCGTTTTTAAGTTTCATTGCTTCGATAACTCAGTTTTGGGAATCTGCCCAAAATTTACCTTTCTCTCTTGCCAAGCGTTTCCTGTCGTAAATTGATTACTAAATTCTTAGCTGCCCAATTTTCTCATCCCGCTATGGCTAGCGAAAAGAGGAGAAAAATTATCCGGATCCTGTAATGTGTTCTTATTATCTTTCGGTATCCGGTAAGGCCTATTAAGTGCGCCTCCGTCACTGATTGATGAGAATATAACAAGTGTTTATGCTAAGTTTCTTTCCATAGAGAGATTGAGAGGCTGACGTTACTAAATTTTATATAAAATCTCACAGAGATCAAGATATACTTCAAAAAATATATTACGCACTTTCCTGAAGCTTGACTGCGAAGAGAACGACTAACGCTTATAGCAATAGAAAAAGAAGAAGTGATTAATAAATTTTTTCTTACCAAATGAAAAGAGATAACGTTGAAAGATTAAATAGCGTGAATTTAATATCAGCGAATAAGGAAAAATCAAAGACCGACTTTATAGTATCAAAAAGATTATCGTACCATGTCTGCAAGAAAGGAGAAAAGTAAAGAGCTCATCAATATCGTTCGAGCACACAATATACAAAAAAGTGACTAAATAATGCTGTATGTACTTACATCTTCATCTTCTTTGGCAATGGTCGTCATTGAATTACGATATATGTTGGGACAAGATGAGGCGCGTAAGCGATACCGATGTGTATTTAACATGGCACCGCGATAATGTATTGAATTGCGATGTATACGCATATCTTTCAAAAAGTTTGAATTTCTTATCGAAATATTGTGCCTTAAGTTAGAACGATAGGTGGGTTTTTTTGATTTCGAAAGTCTACGTATACCGGTTATGCTGTCGTGTAAACGCTTCGCCGACGTCCGAATATCTTTCGAACTTTTCACATCATTTTCGGGCATATTTATAATAGCTGGTCCACCCTTTCTACGTGGAATAGCAATTGCTTCGTTATATTTATTTAAATCAGATTCGATTAAGGCGTAACTTTCGTCTTTAATTGACTTATAATATGAATGCACTTCGGGATTAAGTATATCGACAGAGTTATGCCGCAAACCGTTAACTTTGAGATCGTTTAGGGAGGGTGTTACTTTTCTGGCGGCAAAGAACACATTTTCATTGAGGGAATAACGCGAACTTGCAAAATTCTCAGCTTGATTGTGATCACGTGAATATTTTTGAGTGAGATAGCCTTCATCAGAGGACCGCAACGAACCGAGAGAAGTTCGCATGGGTGTTTGATGACCGCTAGAACGTTTCTCGGAGGGCGAGAGCGTTTCAACAGATGCTAAAAAGTTCTTCTTAAGACTGCCACATATTTCGCCTGGCATATCGCTTATCATTGTACCGTCCAGGGAACCAGCCGCCGGTATGATATTAACAGGGGCTCCTGCCGAAGACATGGACAAAAGATTTTCACGAGAAGGAGCTTCCGCACCTTCTTTGTGTCTTAACGAACGCCTACTCATACTTTTCACCTCATATAAATCTTCCAGTTCTAAAGAGCCAAGGTATGTAGGGAAAAATATTTCACTGCGATATCTTTTCAAATGGCTTGCGTTCGGATCTTCAATTTGTTGATTTGCCTCCGTATTGTTCTTCGTAACCAATGTATCCAAAACGTATTCTTTTGTAGCACCAGTATCTAATAGTTTTTTGATCTCTTCCAGGCAAACACTAGAATTTGAAAAAGTTGTTACACTCTGAGAACGGCTTTCAAGACGATTTTCTTCAATTAGCCAATCAGGGTCGCGCATAAGGGCTCCGCAAACACAGGTATTTAACATAGTGCCGGCCAATATTAGCGTGGCACCGCGCCAGCCATATGAATCGATCAGCCATTGCGTTAATGGAGCATATAAAAATGTACCAATACCCGTACCAGAAGCTCCTATACCAGTGGCAAACGTTCTCTTCTTGTCAAACCAGAAAGCAATGGAAACCACAGCAGTTACATATCCAATACCCAGCCCGAGACCAGATATTATACCGAAAGTAACCATCAGCATTTCTATCGAATTGCATAAGGACGACAAACCGAAACCGAATGCTGATACCAAGCCGCCGAGAATTGTCATCTTTCGGCAGCCGTATTTGTCGACCAGGTTCGACCATATCGGTCCCATTAACAGTGGTACGGAAAAGAACAATGAACTAATCCAGGCCGTTTTGGATGGCGATTCACCAAAATACGCCAGCAATTCTGTGTTAATCAAACCAAATGAAAACGACAACCCATCTGCTATTAGTGAAACTACCAGCGAAGCAAATACCACCATCCAACCATAACCACCATCGGGTATTTCTGGTTTCTTTTTCTCGCTTGAACCGGACTCAATGGAGTCACCCGATCCATTCGATATTAAGCGTGTGCGTTTTTTCACTTCACTGCCGTTCGTAAGCGCTACGCTCTCTGCACCATTTATGATTGGCAGACTACTCTTAAACACTCGACTGGATGTTTGACTTTCGTTCAGATTTCCAGTTGACAGGTTGCAGAACTTCACTTCTGGAAATAAATCGTGTTTAATTGTTTTCTTAAGAGGTGTTGTCTTATTCGATGTTAACGCAGACGAATCCTCTGATTTTACGCCTAAAGGCTGATAAATGCTTCCATTTTGTCGGGTAATACTAGAGTTTATGTTTCTATTGTTCACTTTAGCAACCATTTTGAGAGTTGTGACTTATTATGTAGAATTGTTTTCGGGGTTTCTTTTTCTTTTAACCTGAAGGAAGGCAGATAGATAGTTAGTAGTTGTATATGGGCCCAGCTTCCCAAAGTTGAAGTAAAATTTTGTAGCGTTTCTGGTTTAATTTCTAAATAATTTTCAGATGAACACAATAGTTTCAGCAAATTATTGATTGGGATTTGTTTGTCTTATTGTACTAAATTTTTCTTTACTCTCACTACTGTTGTGTTCCCTTATGGTTGGTTGGTTGGTTGGTTGGTTGGTTAGTTGGATTTCTTCAAATTAGCATTATATTCGCATCAAATTTCTTTATCGTATAAGTTAAGTGCAAACCAATTCCCTTCGGTAGTTTCACGAAACTCAATGTTGAAGTTGGTTCCCGCGCTTAATGCTCGGTATTCTCGGTATTTTACGGGCACACACCAAATAGTTTCCTTACGGCGTACGAGCTCTCGTTGAATAATCTGAAATAGGGAAACTACGATAAAAACGTGACAATCATAGCAGATTAAGAAGCTAAAGAACACAATGGGAGATCTTATGATAATTTAGTTTACAAGATAAATGGCCATTCTGTTTATTGTCACTAATGTCGATGGAATTGATGAACATTGCTAATGAAAAGAATCTATCCTATCATAAGTATGCCAAGGAGGAAATCGGAAATATATTTACTACCTTTTTAAGACCGTATCACATGTATGAAGTGACTTCAAATATTCGCTCAGGTCAGAGATCCTAACTAGCGCACATTACGTGCTAGGAAAAGCGCTACTGAAACCCATCGCTTTTGCGTTTGATGACCCAGCACGCTTTTGAAACAAGGACCTCCTTGCACCTTGTTTCCGACTCATTAATCGTGGCGACTTTGATCGAAAGACGAAAAATGGAATGTTATAGCAATTGAAGCGATTTGCAGCGTGACACGACTTGATTCAACCGATGAGCTGCTCGAGCGGCCGTACAAAAAATGACACTACTTTAAGAATTTGGTGACAATATCAAAGGTAGGACATTCCGTGAGTTGCCTTGGAAGATGGAAAGTTGCGAGAAAATATTTGCAATTGAAATTGACATTTGTTTATCTGACGCTTCAATTGATTATATTTTGCTGCATAACTATTGAAAAACATGCTTTGGTAAGCTATTCAAATTTGTTATCAAAATTAGTTTCGAAATCTTTACATGTTACAATTACTTTAATAGGCAAAGATTAAAACGGTTTTTAATAAAAATGTAGTACAGTTCAGTTCCTATGAAACATGGCGTCCAATCAGTTGGGACGATTTTTCCGGCATGTATCGTCGCTTTGGCCGAGGAACTGGAATTAAGCTTGCAACCGAAGCATCACGTCACGGCACAACGTGTGATTTACTGAGGAAATAGGGGTTTCTTAGATTTAAATTATTTCCTGCGATTAGGACAATTTTCAAAAATGGATTTATTTGGTCCGAATTTGGTACAGTTCATTTCTTCAATATAGGCCGTTATACAATGAATGGCCCAGAATTTGGAATAGAACCTAATGTAACGAGAAACAAGATTACAATTACTAAGAAGGTTCGTAAGATGGACGTAATCACTGAAAACTTCACTTGCTGATTATCGATTTCCGCAGTTTGGAGTGCGATATCCAACTAAATATTATTTTAAAATTTAATACAAAGAAACGCGATGTACTCAATCGCCTAAGTGATGTGCCCGCGTTCAGTAAAAATCTTATCGATGATAATCAAAGTTTAGTTTGAATTCAAGTCTTTTTTGCCTAATTTTGTAATTGCAATACAACTTTATGTTAATTAATTGTTTTCTATATATATGTGTGACTGACCGAGATTCGAAAAGATGTTACGCTTTAATTTTAACTTGAAATCATTTATTTTCCTTGTTTCATTTCGTTTATTACTTTGTTAAATATACATTCAATAATATAATACTTTGGGCTTATCTTTAACGGTAAAGTATGTATTCGAGTAAAATTATAAGCAGTTGTTTTAATTATCACGAACGAGGGCATCATTCATTCATAAAAAACATTCTTATTTGTTTATTATTATGTACACTTGCGTATGTGTATATGTACATAAAACTGGACTTTTTTTCATATTACGCTCTCAAAGCCCGACGTTGTTACTGGATCTTGCTTGCTATTTTTTTATTTTCTTTTATTCACAAAATTTATTGTTCTTTTTGTTGAGTTTCAATATTTTTATATTTTTCTCTATATTAACACCGTTAAGCACACAGCGCAGTTGAATTTTATGAATTTATAAATAATACTAAAACGTTTGAGATGTTATTTATGGCCGACTATGAAAGGGGGATAGAAGAAAACAAAGTTAGAATGTTTTGTTTGCAAACAAATGTTGTGTTGCGAAAGAAATTTGAAAAATTTCAATAAAACTAAATTCAAAGAGGGAAAATAAACGAAAGGAAAACATTACAGAAATCATCAAAAATTGAAATAATTCTTATGCGGATTCAGTTTTTCTATCTTTTGTTTTCCTTCTTTCACACACATACTCGCGTGTACAGTGAATAATGATTCCGAATCGGCTACCATCCGATCATCATTGTGTAAGAATATTGTTGGTTTAATAATTTTGACAAATTATTTTTAGTTCCCTTCAACTTGACCTTTGGAAAATAGATTGAGCAGAAAGAGAAATATGCAAAGAGTAATAAGCAATGGAAAGGCATAAAAATGAGAAAGACATGATATGATCTAGAAGATCTCGACGTACAGTTTTAGTACCGGGAAATTACTTGTTTTTATTAAATGATTTTTAACAATCCAAAAAATTTTATGTTTTATTAAAATTATATAACACTGACATGGAAGCGAAAGCCTCCTAAAATGTAATCGTCGCGTAGCACTTACGCTGGCCTACTGTTTTACCTCACAGTACCTTAGTTATGCCCGTAAGATACTATACCGACAGAATTCAAATTTCATCGCACCTTTTGAATTTTTATTCTGTTCTTTGTTCTGCTAGGCCAAGTGATAATGGTGCCCCCAAGACCCTGAAGGACCACACATCAAAATTGCCATCAGAAATCACTAAATATGGCAATATTTCTGGTGAATGAAGACGAGTATTTCCCTTCATGTCTTCCACTCGGCGGAGGTCTCCCTTACCGTTACTGCCTGGACTTACTTCATTATTTAAAAGAGTCATAGTTACTTCCATTGTTGGTACTAACGGTTGCCAGGATTGCGCTTTACGGCGGGCAAATAGATTGCTGTTCATCGAGTACAATTTACTTGGCCAAAAGAAAAGAAACGAAGCGTTGTTCACATTTCGAAGGGGGATCCCAACGTTTCCTTAAACCGAGTTTGTTGAGGGTTGAAGTTCATAATCCGTAGTTTATTCAATTTCAGATTACTTAACTGAAAATGTCTGCTTTCTTACAAACATTTCTCTTTCTGCTTTGCGGAGTTTGTCCGAAAAAGGCACGAAACTCGTTTCGCAGCCAAATCATAGCTTACCCGCAGAAGAGGGCAGTTTCCAATTTTATAAGATCTAATTCGAAATGAGCTAATTTCTTAGGTCGCTGTGATGCTGACTTTTCCATAGAGAATGTTATGATAGATAAGCTATAGTTAAACTATAATTAACTTAGCTGGCTTAAGATGTTGACCGCCTCTGTTTCCAGCCCAGGCTAAAATGTGTTCGTAATTAAGATATTGGGAATTTAAGAGTGAATTGTTGTTATAACGATACTTACGGCATGGGGATATCTATCTAGTCATCATCAGCTGGGCAGGGAACGTATCAAGTAAATTCATATAAAAACGCAAGAGACATTGCGGTTTACGTAACACCTTGCTTCAAGCTGAACAGGCAGCCTGACCATTTTCGCTAATGCCGTTTTTTTGTATATACTTCGACATATTTGCATATGCCAGCGCAAATCCTAAAAACAGTACTTGGAGGTGGAGCATTTGTAGCATTATTCACTACAATAGAATTCTACTTATCCAATTCTTTAAAAATTCTTCAAAATTAATGCTAGTGACTCTAACATTATCTTTTTCCTTGCATGGCTTTTTTGCTAGCGTTAAAGGCTAGTGACCGAATTCATGTTTGCTTGTCGACAAAAAAAAATATTAGATATTTTTTCTTATAAACTACTATACGAAAAAAGAAGTATACTGATGTGTCTCGCCAGTTGGAGACACGTAGGAATATGCAACAAAAATATCTTTCACATGAAGCCAAGAAGTGTGCAGCAAATATTCTATATAAATATATGATACTTAAAAAAATGCAATAAGGAATTTATATTTATAGTACCTGGAAGTATGCAACACAGGCTTTAAATATGATAACTAGAAATATGCAATAAATAACTTTTTGTTATATCTAAAAATATATGTATGACACATTGAAATACGCAACAAAAATTCTATATATGACGCCCAAAAATGTGCAACACACCACCGCATATATGTAGTTTACCTTTTTTCTTGATCGTCGGGAACTTTAAAATCAATTAAGTCATGTTCTCTTAACTGTCACTTTCGTTCGTTTTCAGTCGAATTTTTTAAACAGCGACAACTAGCATAGGAATGTGAAACTTGCGTGTGTAATGTAACAATTTTTGTAAATGGCATCAGGTTCGAACGGAAAGCGAGAGAAATTCACATTAAGCGTATAAAATTTATAAATACTTCGAATAAAAAATTAAAAATGAAATTTGAATTCGTTTAGAGTATATATTTTTCTTTCATGACGACGATGGGTAATCATGATTCGTCTTTAAGGGAATAAATTTTGTTTATTCATTTGTTTATTTATAAATGCATTTTACACGTTTTTCTTTTGTTTACATAGCCGTTCACCACCACCAATCTATCGCTTGTCTAGTCTATTGGATTACGTAGGTTCAGCAATGCACAAATATATGTAAATGCATACGCACACACACTTGATTTTGCAGTTTGATTCTAAAACGAATTAATTATTTTGTTATTTTGCTTTTAACGTTATTTTTAGTTTGGCAAAGTTTGCTGCCGTTATTTATGTGATTTTATTTCATTTTACTTTTCTTTTCCTATAGTGACGTTGTTCTTTATTTATTTATTTATTTAATTCTTATTGCTTAACATTTCGTCATATTTTAACGACGATTAACTAATCGTATATATGTGTGCTCTCATTGTACCCATAGGTAAGTGAATAACCACTTTTAACAGCAGCAGCAGCGGCAACAACGTATTTCTTAACTTTATCGGTAAGTTTCTTTGTAAGCATATCGCCTTAAAACCTGATATTTTATAATTATCATAATCAGCAATCAAGGGCGACGTTAAATGAATTTTTATCATTTAGAACAGATTTGCTGATATTAATCGTCTCGTCAGTTTCTCGACATCGTCAATTTATTGCTAATCGTTATATTCATTAAATGGTGAAAGAGTTTGGATATCTTATCTTTATATTTTTTAAGTTCAAACTTTGTTTTACCATAATTAAATTTTTTTTTTTTGGTTCGTTTTTGTAAAGCAATTGGAAAAAAGTTTCAATGATCCTATGGCGACGAGTCTTAAATATTCTTTAAAATTTGCGGATTATGGAGTCTATTGTGACTGATATGACAACAAAGCCTTGCGGAACAATAGTCGAGATCAAAATGTTTTCCGCTGTTTCTGTTGCCACGGCTCACAGCTGCTTCGAGTGTTCAATTATTTTTAATATATAACACAATTAGTTGAAAATAAATGTTGCACGATGCAATAATTTAAGCAGTCACTAAAACTATTGTAGTAGTCCATAACATCATTACGATAAACAAGTATTGGGAAAAAGTCATCAAAAATATTATAGTCGATCAACACCGACCGTTAAACAACCTACGCTATAGCGTCCAATACCATTCTTCATTTATGTACATGATAAAATACGAAAGGATTATATCTTGTTTCTTTCTATATAAAGGCGTTTATTGAAAACATATTAAGGCAATGTACAGAAGACCATGGCCAAAGGCATAGTTCACAACACAAAATAAACGCTTTGAGGAGACCGTTATATAAGTTGGATTTCAAAACATGGGTCCAAATTTGGTGCAGTTCATTTTTATGTGAAATTGCTATCAAGGGCCATTTTTTACTGCTTCATGAGAATCTCTGTATGAAGTGGCATCTAAAAAATAGGCAGACTTGGTACAAAGTTGTCAAATCATTTTCATCCTGGAAATCACGCCATAAAAAGGCTATATAACTTTTCGTGGAAACAGTTATACGGCAGGGGAACGTGGCACCGCAGCTCGTCAGAATATTTCAAAGACCTTGAACACAAAAACTCATGGGCAGATCGCTGGCGGACAGATAAGTTTAAGTCCATTTAAAAAATGAGATCAAACCACTCCCTACAATAAAATATGGATCTGACCTATGGGTCTCCGCAGGTGCTACGAATACCCGCACAAACCTATTGTATCCTGCTATACCGTGCAAGTGGCGTAAGCTTTGAAGAGAAATATAACTTTTTATAAAACAGCATTGTGATGGTGTACGGTAGTGCCCTTCGGCATCTATTCCATCATCATTTCGGATTAGTTTTTATTTTGCAATTTTTTATTTATTTTGTGTTCAATTACTTTCGTAAAATATTAATTTTTTATTACTTACTCTTTTTTCAATTTTATTTTTTCAAAAAACTTTGTTTCTATCTAAACACCAGCTGTTTGTGTAACTGGTTGTAAACATTAACGTAAAATTATAGTCGAACTCTCGCTATTGTTAGCTATGAGAACATAAAAAGTATGCTACAATCGCCCTCTAGACAATTGAAATCACATTTCGTAGGCAACACACACATCACAAGATACCTTCGAGTATTTTTCTTAGCTGACTGATTAGCTACGTTTCCTCCATCATACACGGAAAGTCATTTCGCCCGCGAACGAAAAACGGTACCTCAAAGGAAGACAACTCAACTTTCCTCTATGACTTCTGCTTCGTAGTCAAATTTTTTCTAAAACTTAAATATTGTTCCAGCCTTGCACCGTGCTTAACAATCGAATCGATTGAGTTCATCAAATGTTTGTCAGAGAAAAGATGTATTTTATGGTCAGTAGATAAATTTATTTAAGGAGAAGAAAAGTGGATCGACTTGGTGGGCCTCATACCTTTTCTTCTCTTAGGTGAAATAGAGCGCAATTTGCGCACGAAACTATCACGTGCGTACACAATTACTCTCGTTCTCGTTTACAGCGTGCATCAATAAGTCTCAAGACCG